GCTCGAAAGCGGCTGCCCTTGAAGCTGGCCTCTGATTCTGGAGCCCAGGTGTGTGCCCTGGCTGACGGCGGGGAGTGGAGGCCGGGGAGGAGGACACCCGCTCAGGTTAGCTGTCGGGGGTCGGCAGGCTTCAGCTACTCTCCTGCCCCTTGCCCCCGAGCATCCTGCCAGGCGGACGTTCCCCAAGGGGCCCCCCGGCCTCCAACTCCAGGAGGAATGTAGGTCAGGGAACTTGACAGCGCCGTGTGAGCGGAATTCACGGAGCCCTGAGTGATGGCGCCATTTGCTTCTATTTCTGGGCCCTAGATTATGCGCTGACAGTGTCAGAATCACGGTCCCAGGGAGGGCCGGCCACCGTGCTGGAGGAGGGGAGGGTCGCCCTGTTAGGATAGCAGGAGCAGGGCTGAGGAGTGGGAGGCCCGGGGCAGGCCATTCGGCTTCTGAGCCACAGCCCAGGTCGGGACAGCTGCCGCTTGGTGAGGGGGAGACCCCCGGCCCTTTGCACCTGTAAAGGAACTCTCTGTCAGGTGCTTGCTTCCCGCCTACCGCTCGGCCAGATGGCACTCTGCCAGCCTGGTCTCCAGCCCCAGACCTGGGCCTGCCTGACCCACCCAAGAACTGGAGGTCAAGTGAATGAATGAACAAGGCTTAAGATGCCCAGTGGTCTCCGAGGGGCACAGGACAGTGGGGTGGCATCTCTACCTCACTATGGCCTCAAGAGAGGCAATCAGCCAGAAATAGCAGGTTCCCAAAGGCCCAGAGGCCGGGTTTTTAAATCATGGGACACAGGCAGCCCCATGGCCTCTGTGGGAGGGCAGGGGTGGGTCACAGAGCCAAGCCCCCGCCCCCAGCGGGCCGCCTGTGTCATCTGGTTCGTATACTGAGCCTTTGTACATGCTTTACCGGGGAAATGCTCTGCTGCTGCTACAGAATGTGGGGGCGTGGGTCTAGCTCAGTTTGTGGCCTGTGGGTCCTGACCACCCATGAGGAGAGCTGGGGCTTGTGGGGAGTCTGGGGCACAAGCCCTCCCTGCCTTCAGCCACCGAATCTGAACCGGGCCTGAGCATGGGGCACCCACTAGGCAGCCTAGAGGTGCCAACCCTCTCCCTCCCTCCTGCCTTCTGCTGCGGACACCTCTGCCAGGACTCACACTTGTCTGGGAAGGCAGATTTCCAACCAGCAACAACTTGCCAAGTTGAAGCGCCCTGGTTTTTTGGCTCGGAAACTTGGTCAGCAGGTGGACGGACGACCGTGTCTTCCAGTGGCTAGTGTCCCTCGAAGCTCTATCTCAGGCCCTGATCCTGGTCCACATTAGACCCCCCCAGACCCTAGCAGCCCACCTGACGCCCAGGCTGTGGCTGGCCACTGTCCCCCAGCACCGGGGAAGTCCAGGCCCTGGACGCTCTGACTTGCCTTCAGGTGACAGAGGTCGCAGAACCGGGGCCAAGTACCTCTGACCCCAGTGGGACGTCACAGAAAGAAACCCTTCCGCCGATGCACCTGCTTGATGCTAGCTAGCCGCCAGGTCAGGCCGGATGGGACTGAGGGATGATAACAGCAGCTATGCCTCTTGGCCACTGAGCTCACTGTGTCCTGTGACAAGCCTGTTACAGGTGAGCAGGTCGAGGTCCCGAAAAGTGAAGGACTCGTCCTTAATTAATGCAGGAAGAACTTGACCCCAGCCATGATCCCGGAAGCTGCGAGTGGAACCCCCACCCTAAGAACTGCCACCCCGCCCCCGCCTGGCTTCCCGCTTCTGCTGCTCCATGAGGCTGAGAGCCCCAGGGGTCAGCTGCCTCCCTTCAGCTCCCACCTGCCCTGGGGATCTGGCAGTCCCCTGTCCCTCTTCTCCTGCTGGGACTGTGACCTTCCAAAGGCTCCAGCTGGCTCCCAGCCTGGGCCTGGCCTCCACCTGGGTCCGTGGGCTGGCTGGCCACACACGTCCCCAGCTGGCCAGCTCCGGTTGCCATGGAAATGTGGGGAGGACGCCTGTAGAACGGGGTCCCCTCCCTCCCTGTGGCTTGTCCTCCCTCAGGCCAGCAGCTTCTCCGGCCACCGCTTCCTGCTCCCGTCCTCCCTTGCTGGCCAGGCACCTCCCAAGGTGGGCAGACGTCAGCTATGGAGAGGGGAAGGCCCAGGAGAGGCCAGGGGTTCAGATCCCAAACCCAGAGACGGGACAGCAGGCAGCAGCCCTGCGGGGTGGGGCGGGGGGTGGGGCAGGTAGCCAGGAAGGCCAAGAAGTCCCCCACTAACCAGGGAATTCAGGGTTAATTTGGGAGCAGCCTGAAGTCTCTTGCTGGTACCTTCAAATAAATACCCCCCGGGCTTCATCTCCCACAGCTGTGGCAGCGAGGGGTGGGGCAGGGGTGCGGCCAGACTTTCCCAAGCAGGTTACAGACCCGTGTGCAGAGCGCGTTGCCGGTGATACTAAGTCTATGCTCCGTAGACAGATAAGGTCTGCAACAGCGGCGACCTCTGGGCAGTGGGATTACACGTGATTTAAAATTGTACTCGTTTCCTAATTTGCAAATTTGCGACAGTGACTACCTCCTGCATCTTTTTTTTCTTCAAAAGCTGGTTGGATTTTTCTCCATGTCTGAGCAAGAGCGGTTGTAAGCCAACCGTTTGGAAAGCCCCTGCAGTTTCCAGAAAAGCTCCCAGCACCAGGGTGCCGTGAATTATCAAATAGTGACAACCCTCCTGCTGAGCCAGGCATGTGGTGGGGGGGGACCGACTCGCCTCAGTTTGCTGGGATGTCCCTGTTTGAGCCCTGAAGGTCTTGTGTCCCCGGAAACCCCTCTGTCCCAGCCACACTTGAGATGGCTGGTCCCCTGTGCCTGACCCCCTCCAGGAGGTAGGTGTCCGTGATCTCATCTCCCTGGTGAGGAAAGGTGCGTGATTTGTCCAAAGTCACACAACCAGGAGGCTCCTGGGCTGGGACGCAAACTTCAGTCTCTGTGACACTGGTGAGGTTGGCCACCATACCACGACGCCCAGTCTCCTCTGTCACCCGGAGAAGGGTTTCCGGGTGTTGTGACCTATAGGGTTCTCCAAGGGCCTCTGTAAGGACGGGGATGGTTTCTGCGGAGATTTCACATACACCCCCTCCCAGCCCGTGAGCTCTCTGGATGCCACTGTGATCAGCTGGGGGGAAAAGGAGCCTTGTCACTGTGCCTTCCACTAACGGCAGAGAGAGACAGAGCACACCTCCCAAGGCCACACAGCACAGAGTGGGTGGGGGAGGCAGGACGGATGGAGACCCAGGTCTCCCCTGTGCTCCCGAATGGGAGAAGGGCTCACCCCCGCCGGCCACTCACCCCAGGCAGTGACTCCACGAACATCTAGAGACTTCCATTCCGTGCCTGGCCCTAGGCACAAACCTGTGAACAAGGTGGCCTCGGCCACCACCTCCACGGAGGGATGGTGTGGATGCCGAGTATCTCCCCAGCCAGAGGGTTCCTCGGCTGCAGCTGGGTGAGTGACGGAAGGGAGAAACGTGGTGTGCTGGGAACGCGCCGTTTGGGGCCTGACCCGGAGTTCTGGAGGTCTGGGAAGGCCTCCCTAAGGAAGTGACATTCCTGCCAAGGCCTGGAGGCTGAGGGAGAACAAGTCAGTGGGGAAGGGAAAGGGCCAAACCCTCTGGAAAGGAGGAGCGCAGGGATGAACGCTCCCATCCCCAAGGTTTTGTCTTTTCCTCCGTAACACGGGGACGACGCGTTTGGCTGCTGCGGAGGTGAGGGTCCCTCCCAGGGACACATCGTGGCACCACGGGACGCAGTGACCACACCCGTACCTGTGCGCCCACAGAACTGGAGACAGGCGCCAACACACACGCGTACCCAAACGTTTGTAACAGCCCCAGGAGGTGCCGGCCGCCCAGATGTCCGCAGACCAACGGACGGAGACACGAGCGGTGGTGCCTCCAGACGGGGGATATCATTCAGCCTTAGGAAGGAGGAACGGACGGAGACACCGGGAGGGGTCGGGACGGCTGATGGGCCGTGGGGTGATTCCCTGTGTGCGGAAGTTCCATCCAGACAGAAGCAGATGAGTGGCGGCCAGGGCTGCGGGGAGGACGACGGGGGCTGGTTGCTCACTGGGTGTGGCACCCTCTTTCAGGGTGATCAGTGTGTTTTGGAACTGGATGGGGGGGATGCTCACCCAGCCCTGTGAGTGGACTAAACGCCGCTGGGTGCGCTTCAAAATGGTTCGTTGTAAGTGACATGAATTTCACCTTAACTTTTAAAGAACAGGGATTGGGGGTGGGGGGCACCTGAGTGGTTCAGTGGTTAAGCCTCTGCCTTCGGCTCAGGCCATCATCCCAGGGTCCTGGGATCGAGCACCGCGTCGGGCTCTCTGCTCAGCAGGGAGCCTGCTTCTTCTCCCTCTCCCTCTACCCCGTCCCCCACAACTCGTGCTTGCTTGCTCTCTCTCAAATAAATAAAATCTTTTTTAAAAAATAAATAAATACTAAAAAACCAGGGATGGTCACGTGCTGCTCTCAACATGGCAGGGACCCCAGTGAGGTCCTTTTAGAACCATCACCAGCCAGGGTGGTGGATCAGGCCCTCCAAGGGGCCCGCAGGGGCCACCGATGCCCCCCCAATGACTTGCTCTCTCATGAAGACCTTTCCTGAGCACAGTGAGCACATTGGGTCCGGACCCTCTTGGAGTCCCCAGGGCATCAGGGAGGAGACACAAGATAAATATTAAGAAGTGTGTGATGTGTCCGGGCTAAGAAACACTGTAAGGACAAAGTCCGGGCGGGGTAGAGAGCGCCAGGGCTTTGGTAAACAGGTGGTCGGGAAGGCATGAGCCAGTGGATAGCCCAGAAGAGGGTGTTCAGGCGGAGGGAACAGTACAAGCAAAGGCCCTGCGGTGGAAACATGCTCAGGGGTGAGTGTGGCTGGGAGGAAGAAAGCAAATCGGGGTGGGGTACAGAGCTGTGAGGGGACACTGAGCATCCTGCGGGCCTCTCTCTCTCTCTCTCTCGCCCACAGCTCTGCTCCTGGACATCATGACAGTGGCCGGTGTCCAGAAGCTCATCAGGAGGCGCGGCCCATTCGAGACGAGCCCCAGCCTCCTGGACTACCTCACCATGGACATCTACGCCTTCCCCGCCGGGCACGCCAGCCGCGCGGCCATGGTGTCCAAGTTCTTCCTCAGCCACCTGGTGCTGGCGGTGCCCCTGAGGGTCCTGCTGGTGCTCTGGGCCTTCTGCGTGGGCCTGTCGCGCGTGATGATCGGCCGCCACCACATCACCGACGTCATCTCGGGCTTCATCATTGGCTACTTCCAGTTCCGCCTGGTGGAGCTGGTCTGGATGTCCTCCAACACCTGCCAGATGCTCATCTCTGCCTGGTGAGCCACCGCCCGTGGCTCCGGGACCCGGGGTGGCCTGGGAGAGGAGGCAGCAGCTGCGGGGCCCACGGGGCCAAGTGTCTGTCCCCCCACTCCTGCGCTTGGACTGTGAGCGTCCTCCCAAGGTGGGCCGGGGGCCCCAGGGAGAGCCGTGCGTGGCTTCCGCCCTGGAGACGGGAGGCAAGAACCAGGGTGGCAGGAGCGGGGCCGAGCATTGTCCTGTCCCTCCATCGTCGTGACTGCTGAGTGCTTGGCCGCACCCCCCGTGCCACAGCACAATGCCTGGCAAGACACCCCCAGCCGCTGCCCGACACAGGTGCCACTGCCATTAACGGTCGCCAATAGCTTAGGGCAGCCCTTTCGAAAGGGCGCCCTGCCGGATGCCGGCCTGCAAGACGCTTTGGGAAGAAGAAAGGGTTTTGTGGTCAAATAATCTTGGGGAATGCTGCATACTCTGCCCCCCATGCTGGCCGTTCACGAGAGCCGTTGTCATAAAGGCTCTGACAAGTCCTGTAGAAAGGCTTCCTGTCAGACCCCGTTGAACTCCATGTTTCCTCAACTTATTTGACCACAGACCCCTTTTCTCGAGGAACAGCTACGAACCCCCAAAGATCTGCCATCTCCTCAAGCACGTTTTGGGAGATGCTGCCCGGGAGCCGGGGGGCCCAAGGCGCAAGTGGGCCCCTCCCAGCACCCAGGAAGGCCCGGTATTGCGTGCCACCTACGGAGAGCCCCTGGCCATGGGCATCGGTGCCGCTTTGGCCCTCAGGGGCCGGACTCCGTGTGACCTGATAGGTCGTTTTCCAAGTCCCCGTTCTGGCTGTGCGTTTCATGCGACAATACAGAGGACTTGCAGCGGACCCCTGCCCCGTGCTCTCTCGTGCGACGCATGTTTCTGGGCAGGACAGTCTGTGTTGACATCCAAGGGTGGGATTTCATCAGCCCCGGACGGGCCAGGGTGTCAAGTGGTCAGGGGGCAGGGGGCTCCTGAACTTTCCCAGGCTGGTGGGTCGTTCTCCCTGAGGTCATTGTCTGGGGTTCCAGGGCCTGGGTCGTGACGTTTGGGAAGTCCTCATGGAGCTGCTGTCAGGGTCTCCCCTGGGGGCCCAGACCCTCTCCTGCTCCAGTCTCAAGTGTCCCTGGCTCCCGGCCCCTGAGCCAGGGGACAAGCCATCAGGCCAGCGGAGGAGAGCCATGACGAGGGGCGTCCAGGGAGCTCAGGCCAGGGGCCAGCCAGGAAGTGCGGGCGGGGGGTAGGGGGGAGTGTTGGGGCAGGGGGAGGAGGGGGCAAGGAGGCCGTGCCTGTCACGGATGAGAGTGAGCCCCCCATGGCTGAGCCCAGACTGCAGGGTAGTGGGGAGACGCGTCAGGCTGGGGTCGGGGCTCGGGGTTCCCTGAGCGAGCACTTAGTGTGTGACAGCTCGACCCCTCTGAGTGGGGCTGTTGATGTGCCCATTGTGTGCATGAGAAAAAGAGGCCCAGAGAGGGTGGGCGACGTGCCCAAGGATGCAGGGGGCAACACGCTGCAGCCCACCAGCTGCCCATGATGGAGGGGGATGGGTCTCCAGACCCAGAGTGCTCCACTGGGCTGACCCTCCGGCTGACCACCCGCCCCTCCTGCTGCAGGGAACCCAAGTCCTCACATGCTGGATGGCTGTGGCTCCCCCCACACCCAGCTGGGCCGTGGCCCCCGCAGACGGGTACCTGCCCACTCCCCCAAGACCCCCGGCTTCTCTTTTGAGCCTCCAGGGCTCCCTGCCCTGCTGGAGTGGGCCAGGACATCTGGGGCACCAAACCGGCAGGGCCACCAAGACGAAAAGCCCCAGCTTCCAGTCCAGGCCGTTGGCTACTTCTGGAGTCTTTAAAATACATTCTGCTCGTCTCCCCAGATGCTCCCAGGTGCTGAGTTTATGAGACGCCCAGCAGAAGGGGTGAGGGTGTCTTCCTCCCCGCCTCACCCCCAACCTGGAAATCTGCGATCCACTGTGGACCCTGCTCCAGCTTTGGGCTGGGAATGGGCTGCTGTCCTCTGGCGCCCCATCTGCAGAGGGTGAGGGGTGGACTCTGGAGTCTTTAGGATGAGAAGGGGCTTTTGAAGAATGGAGGGTTCTCAGCAGCCCCCCTAAGGCTTAGAGGGGGCTGGTGGAATGCCACGGGCCTGATAAATGGTTGTTACGAGGAAAGGCCCCTGGGAAGGCTCATCTGGGAGGTACCTCCTGGGGATGTCGGGAACACTGGGTACTAGGGACCCAGGCTCAGGCCAATGCCAGCACTTCCTGGCAGGGGTGACATCCCCTCTCGGAGACCCCGTGTACTGCTCGATCAGATAGGGATGACAGCAGTCCCTGGGAGGTTGTGTGTGATGCAGGGGTACCCTCGCTGTGGAAGCCTGGCAGGTCTGTGCTCAAGGATGCCACCCGGATGTCATGGATGGACCCCTCCGAGGGGACCCGCGAGGGCAGAGCAGGGGTAGGGGTGGGGGACAATTCCTCGGGAACCCGCCATCACCCCACTGCTCCTGGAGAGTCCCCAGGGGGATGTGGGCGGGCAGGGGTGGCTAGGGGACAGCTCCCAGAGCCCCAGTGACAGAAACAGGGAGACAGTGTGTGTGTGTGCTCACGTGGGTATCGTGAATGCCCTTCCGTGACCACAGCCGATAACTGCCCTTTCTGTTTACGGTGAATTCTGAGCACTGGTTTCCAGACGGTACACCAGTCCTACACACCCGGGACAAACCCCAAGGGTCAAGACGCAATACTTTTTCTAAACATTCTAAAGATTTTGTGAAGGATTTTTGCCTCTATGACTGCGAGGGGTGTTTGTGCTATTTCCTTGCTCTGTCTGCGTCTGCTGGGGTCATCAGGGTAATGCTGGCCTCTTCTGCGTTTCTGAGAGTCTGTGTAGCATGGGCATGATTTTTTCTTTAACCCTCAGATCTCAGGCTTCTCCTTTCCTAACCCCTCAGAAAGTGGAGCTGACCCTTCAATTCACAACTGACTCTGGGGAGAGGAAGGGAGGGGAGGGGTAGGTACGGGAGAGCAAGAGAGAGGGGAGGGGAGGGAAAGGGACTTAGCCATATTTAACAAGCAGGAAGAAGTAGAGTTGATACACAATGTCACATTAGTTTCAGGTGTACCACTTTTTAAAAAAACAAGGTCAAATCCCACTGTGCCAGAGGGCTGCCATGTTGTCTGAAGTCCGCCTTGGCTAGATTCCCTGTCACTGCCCCAGGCTGGATGTCAGGTAGGGCAGGATCAAGCCCCAGGAGCTCTCAATATGACACCGCCTCTGCCCTTCCTTCCCCTCCCCCACCGTCAGCTGGACCCAGACCTCAGGGGCTTCCACTAGCTCCTCCTGCGGGCTGGAGCTGGTCCTGAATTCACCCAGTGCCCTCCCACCTCCTGGTTTCTAATCTCTCCTATCCCGTCCACCCAGCTTCCCCCACCCACACGTCCAGCCACCAGGGCAAAGGTGATCCCTTCCGGGAGCTGGAAGAACAGGAATCCGGAGGCTGCCTGCAAGGATCTTGAGCACGGAAACCTGCAAAGGTCATCTCTCTGGCTGAGCAGGGTTTGCAAAAGACCAGGCAACAGAAACAACAGGAATGTTGGCTTGTCCCTGATGTCACTGCAACTGAGGGCTCCGAGGGAGTGTGGACGCCAGGGCCGTAGCCCATTGGGGGGATCTAGGGGGAGCCTCTTTGACAGAGAAGGTGTCCCTCGGTGTCTCCTGGTGCCATAAGGAAAAGGCCTGAGGACCTGTTCCCTCGAGGTAACCTGGCCCCAAAGATGTGGGCCAGAGCTTTGCGTGCCTGGGTTTCCTCTGTCAAGGTCCCGTGGTTGGAGGGCAAAGCTGGAGTCCGGCTGGGCCGCTGGTGTTGAGGAAGAGCGCACACAGGGGAGTCAGACACACCTGGCTTCAAATTGTGGCCCTGATGAGTCTTTGATCCCTCTGAGCCTCGGTTTCCCCCTCTATAAAATGGGGATGATGCTTGCCCTGCCCAGGTATGAGCATTAGAGTGAGGGAGGCCAAGCCCCCGGTTTAGGCCTGGCACCCTGAAGGTTGCAAAGCAGAATGAGCTCCCTGGACCACCGTGTCCCCAGAGAGGACCAGGTGCGTCCCCAGGGCACTCGGGGACAGAGGCTTAGGGGCTCGGGTGGGCAGCTGTCAGCTGGGAGCTCAGAACCCGGGGTGGGCTTGTGCCCTTGTCATGGTGGGCCCAGCGCGGGCTGGCTTCTGGCATGGTTTGCCTGGATCCTGGTGTGGGGGTGGGCAGGCCAGGGCAGAGAGTGGAGGACCTGTGTTCCTTCCCTGCGAGAGCGGGCTCTCTGGAAAGCTCTTGTAGGAACCTCAGAGGCAGTGAGTACCTCTCAGGGTGGCGGGAAGTACAGTTTGCACCTGATCACCTCCTTCCGTCTCCATGGCAACCACAGGTCAGGGAGTCTGTGACCATGGTCACTGTGGCTCAAGTCCGGTGAGAGGGAGGAACCCCACTCCAGCCCCAGAAAAGGGACAAAACGGCTGTTGACTCTGGTGGGGAGGTCTAGGGGAAGGGGGGCTGGAGAGAGGGAGCTGGGTGGGAGGACCAGGGCTGCTGGGAGGGGTGAGGTGGGCCCGTGGCTGGAACTCAGAGATCTTGCTGGCTCTGCAGCGGAGCCCTCATCTGTAAAAAGTGCTGCTCTGCCCTGGGGAGGGGCTGCACCTCCAAGTCCAAGTTCACAGGTAACAGAGGCACTGGGAGTTGGCCTTCTGGGGGCAGGCACTGGGGGGGACCCTTGGAGAAGGCCAAAGCATCAGGCTTCATCATGGTCACAGTGAGGACCTGGCGAAGGAGAGGCTCGGGGCCCCCAAATGCTGCACCCCCGCCATGGGAAGAGGTGGCCCTGGGGCTAGTCCCGGTGACCCTTCCGTGTGCTCACAGAGGCACGTGCACATGCACGCACGCAGGTGCCTGCCTGGGCCAGAGCTCAAGCCCGTGGGTCCAGAGTGCTCGTCACCCTCCCCGTGAGCTAGCGGGAGACGGGGCGGGCCGTTCGTAGGGCCGGTGCTGTATCCAAAACCCACGTGCCCTTGTGGCCAAGGATCCAGATTCCTGCTGCGGGGAAATGGAAAAGGCAGGCACGAGGAAACTAACTGTCCAGTTAACCCGCAGTTTGTTGTCACATTGCCTTGAGATAACCCAGCACGCTACCGTGCCCTACACCACCCGCCCAAATTCTCATACACACACAGACACAGACACACACACACACACACACACACACAGACACAGACACACTTCAAACCAAGCGGAATGATGCGTATTGTTTTACAATCTGCTGTTCGTCTCATCGGATGTCATGTCTCTGGGTGCTTCCACAGCGTCCCACGGGGCCACCAGCCGCACACCAGCTGAATTCGCTCTTTTTTAATGTTTAAGTATTAATTCCTGTGCAGTTAACGTGCATTCGTTTTCTGAACCAGGCCTTTCTGAGTAGATACCAGTTTCTTAGGCTTCTGGAAGCTTTTCTCCGCTGGAACCCAGACCCCTGTGCAAACTAGCTCCCTCTCGGTGCACACGTCTGTGACATTCTCCTCACGGGACATTCCCAGAGATGGGAAGGGGAGCAGAAGCGACGCCCAGGCAGCAGGGGGCAGGGGCTAGGAGCCAGGCCTCCCAGCTGGCAGCCCGGGCGCAAGCCCACGCATTGCCACTCCCCGCAGGAGGTCATCGCTGCTACAGAGCTGTAGACAAATCAAGGGTGACGATGACAGTCCCCACTGCCCCAGGGTCGGGAGGGCCGGATGACGCATGAGGCGTGCTGTGACGGACGGAGTAACGGCCCCCCAGGGACCTCCGCTTCCAAATGCCCAGGACCTG